CCCCCCCCACTCAACTGGCACCTGCAATTTCAACACCACTTTTAATAGCCCTAAGCACCTTCTCATGCCTTGGAACACAAAGTTCCTGACGAACTATACTGTCGAAGATACATGCATGGGAATAGCCAAAGATGATTAAGAAGAGAAGCATTTGTGAGCCATCCCAAACTCTGCAATACAACAAGTTATCATTTTGCTGTTATGTGCAATAGGATCAGGATGGAGAGAGGAAAAGAATTATTGTGTGGCAAGCAGAGAGCGTAAATCTAGGCTAAGAAGAAGGCAATTGAGAAGGCAGGAGAGAAAAAGAGAATGAATTAGTCCGAGACTGCAGGCAGAAGAAAGGAAAAAAATCAGAGCAAAAGAGAGAAAAGCATGACCCCTTCTTCTCTTTCCACTTCCCTTCTTTTGGACACTGCTGCCTTGATGCTCCTAACTGCCAGCCACCTTCTATCCCTGGATGAATATCAGCCGTGCAGAGTACACCAGATCTGCCAGGTACATCAGCAGATTGATGGCGGTTAGAACAGCTACAGCAACATTCTTGTCCCATGTACAGAATTGTCTACCTCCACAGAATGCGCTTCGAGATGGCTGTCCCCCATGCTTTTGGTCAAACTTGTAGAGAGGCCAAATAATTGTGGCGGTGGCATACATGAGCACAGCCAATAAAGTGTAGCCGCTGAGGAATTTGTTGAATGGACATGGCAACCAGCCAGTGCATTCGCCAATGCAGAGGATAATCACCACGAGGGAGAGGATGAAGCAAATGCAGTAGACCGCCATACACCACTTAAGAGCATCTGGATGGTCATAAGTAGGCGGGTCACTTATGAAGACAAAGATGATGCAGGCAGTAAAAGTCTCCACCACCTTCAGTAATCCTGGGACTGTTGCCATGTAGCCGGTGACTTCTCCTGGTTTAGCTTTGGTTATGCTGACCTCGGTGAGGTAAGATAGGCAGGCTAGGCAAGAAAACACAGTGGCGGAAATGCGGTATCCCCGTTCGTCACGAGAAAGATGCTCATTCGAAATGAAGAATACCGGGTAGATAATGGAAGCAGAGAGGCACATCAGGGTGGCATACATGGCGAAGGTGATGGGGAAGTTCTTCCAAGAGACCGGCATGCGATGCTGGAGGCCAGCAAACTCAACCACCAAGATGACAATGGTGATGGCAAAGCAGACGCACCAGGAGAACATGCACCAATCCCCATTGCGGCCATACCAGGCCTCCCGGTTGGCCACCAAGCTGAAGGCCACACAGGTGAAAAGGGCTTCCAGGAGGCGAACGATGCCCAAGGGAGAGGTGAGGGCATTCGTGTTGCCCACTGATTTTGAGCGGGTTACTGGCATCGTGCAAAGATCTAGGGAGGAGAAGAAAGACACAAAATGCAAAACCTTTATCACATGAAAATATACAATTTAGAATACATTTCCTGAATTTAGGGCTAAGGAATAAAGGAACAGCGGGCAGATGTGAAATGAGTGGGTGATAAGCGAGGC